CTCTCCCTCCCTCCCTCCCTAACCTCCCCCCTCTCTCTCTGTCTCTCTCTCTCTCTCTCTCTCTCTCTCTCTCTCTCTCTCTCCTCTCTCTCTCTCATCTCTCTCTCTCTCTCTCTCTCTCTCTCTCTCTCCTCTCTCCTCTCTCTCTCCCCCCCTCCCTCTCCCTCTCCTCTTCCCTCCTCCCTCTCCCTCTCTCCCTCTCTCTCCCTCTCTCTCCCTCTTCTCCTCTCTCTTCTCCCTCTCTCTCTCTCTCTCCTCTCTCTCCTCTCTCTCTCTCTCTCTCTCTCTCTCTCTCTCTCTCTCTCTCTCTCTCTCTCTCTCTCTCTCCCTCCCTCCCTCCTCCCTCCCTCCCTCCCCTCTTCTCTCCTCTCTCTCTCTCTCTCTCTCTCTCTCTCTCTCTCTCTCTCTCTCTCTCTCTCTCTCTCCTCTCTCTCTCTCTCTCTCTCTCTCTCTCTCTCTCTCCCTCCCTCTCTCCCTCTCCCTCTCCCTCTCCTCTCCCTCTCCCTCTCCCTCTCCCTCTCCCTTCTCCTCTCTTCCTCTCTCTCTCTCTCTCTCTCTCTCTCTCTCTCTCTCTCTCTCTCTCTCTCTCTCTCCTCTTGCGTGTGTGTGTGTGTCACTGCACGGGAAGCATCGCCACTGAGAGCAATTGATCTCGTGGTTCACTGTGTCATCTCGGAGTGTCGGTTGATTGCGGAATGTAGGAGACAGTAGGACCAGGTGTGGCGTCTTAGTCATCCTAGTTCCTTCTCTGTTTAAGTCTTTGGTTTCCTTTTCCTTTTCATTTCTGGTCCTGTCATTCCGTTTCATTCTCTCTCCCATCTCTTCCTCTTCCATTCCTTCTCCCTCCCCATCCCTTTCCTCTCCTACTCCCTCTTCCTCCCCCACTCCCTCTCTTTCTCCCACTACCACTCCCTTTCCCTCTCCTCTCCCTCTCCTTTCTCCCTCCCCCTCTCCCTCCCTCTCCCTCTCCCTCTCCCTCTCCCTCTCCCTCTCCCTCTCCTCTGTGCCCCACTTTCCTCTCTCTCTCTCTCCTTCGAATGACTCATTTGGGCAATCGCGGACGTGTCTCACCAGATTTATTTTAGTTTCCCTTCCAGCGT